GAGCCGCCGTGCCCGCCACCCGCCTCAGCGCTCGCCCGTCCCGGGCGTTTCCCGGCCACGCGCCGGCCGTTTCCCGCCGCGGCGTTTCCCGCCTCGCGCGGCGGTTCTTTGCGGCCCGCTTGCGAGGGGCAGCGCCGCGGCGGGCGGCAGCGCGGGGGCTTCGTCGCTCCGCGGTTTTCGCTCGTTCCCCCCGCGAGCCGCCCCGTGCGCCCCGCGGGGGACTGGAGGCGCCGGGGGAGCCGGTGTCGGTCCCGGCGCGCGCCGCGGTGCTGCCCGTCAGCCCCGCGGGACGTTGCGGCGCCGTGCGGGGTGAGCAGCCGCGCAGCGCGGGGAGGGTGGCCGTCGGTTGCGTTTCTCCCCGTGGCCGCCTTTAACCTGCTCTTGGTTGTGCGATCGGGAGAAGGAGAGGAAAAAACAGAGGTGAGCGCGGGGCAGGGCGGGGGAGCCGCGGGGCGGCGGGAGCGGGGCCGGGTCCCGGCCGGGCCGGCCCGGCTTGGCCCAGAGCGGCCGCCTCTCCCGGTCGCGGTGCTGCCGTCCGCTCCGGGGCTGTCCTGGGCCCCGAGGGGCGACCGAGGCCCCCGAGCCCCGGTGCCAGCTCCCGCGCTGCCGGCAGCCCTGCAGGGAGCCCGTGGGCGGAGGATGTCCCTGCCCGTGGGCTCGGCATGACAGCCGAGTGTCCCCGCAGCAGCGTTTGGAGGTGTCCGTGGCACTGTCCCTGCTTGTCCTGGTGCTCCAGGCTGGCACCATGCCCATGATGCACCCCGTGTGCGGCACCCCGTGTGTGGCACCCTGTTTGCGGCACTGTGCAGGGCCAGGCCTGTGGCTGCGCGAAGCCCGGGCAGCCCCGCGTTGCTTCGTGCCGTCGTGTCTGGTGAAGGGGCCCTGCATCCTTTGTCAGGTGCCAAGCGTGTGGCTGGGCTGGGCACACACGGTTAGAACGGGCCGGGGAAAGGAAGCGGAGCCTGGGGAAAGGAACGGGCCGGGGAAAGGAAGGCATTGTGTGGCGCCGCCTGCACAGCCGCCAGCTGCGGGGGATGATTTCTTAGGTCCTGGCTAGGTCAGGCTGTGAGGCCGGTACACTATGTTGCCAGAAGCATTGACTAAAGTTGTGACTTCAACCCATAAATGAAAACTCTATCTGTTTTAATTTTATGCCAAATTAAATCTCTCAAATGGAAGGATTTTTGCAGCAGATGCCCTGCTCGCTTCTTTCCATCATAAGTTTCCTAACATACTTAGTCCCCTGGGCCTGGAAAGCAGCAGAAGTTGTCCTGATGCAGCCATTTTACACCCAACTTGCCTGTTCTTGCAGCTGCTAAATGGTTTCATCTTCCAGCACGTTTCCTTGCTCACTCCTGGGGAGGCGACAGCACAGGACCCACAGCTGCACATGCGACACTTGCTGCAGGAGCAGCGCCCATGCGCTAGGTGCGCCCTGCAGCAGCGCGAAGCCTGGGCACTGCACCCAGTGCCTGCTGCAGCAAGTGCCTCTGCTTCGAGTGCCTGCAGCACCCAGTGCCTGCAGCACCCAGTGCCTGCTGCACCCAGTGTCTGCAGCAGCGAGTGCTTGCAGCACCCAGTGCCTGCTGCATCCAGTGTCTGCTGCAGTGAGTACCTGCAGCACCCAGTGCTTGCAGCACCCAGTGCCCGCAGCACCCAGTGCCCGCAGCACCCAGTGTCTGCAGCAGCGAGTGCCTGCAGCACCCAGTGCCTGCTGCACCCAGTACCTGCAGCACCCAGTGCTTGCAGCACCCAGTGCCAGCTGCACCCAGTACCTGCAGCACCCAGTGCTTGCAGCACCCAGTGCCCGCAGCACCCAGTGCCTGCTGCAGCGAGTGCCTGCAGCACCCAGTGCCTGCAGCAGGAGCCAGCCGGGCGGCTGCGGTGCGTGGGGTTTCGGGCCGTTCCCGGGCTCGCGGGGCTGTCTCGGCTCGGCCGTGCCGGCTCTCGGCAGGCAGGGCGAGCGGAGAGGCAGGGCGGCCGCGCTGCTGCGGGGGCAGGAGGCAGGGAAGGGAAGGCTGGAAAAGGAGACTTGGAGAAAAGTGCTTGAAGTGGAAGCTCCACACAAATGCAGGGTTGAATGAAGCATTTTTTAAAAGGTAGTTTTTTTTATTACTAAAAGGTTTATTATTATGTTTTTAGGCATACAGTGTTCCAGATTAATAGATATATTACCGGTTTTAGCTCCATGATATTTTTGGGAGATGTTACTGCCTTTTCTGCTTGGTTTGTGTGAAAAGGCAGACAAAACCATGATTTATTTTGTTCCTTGAGATCTCTTTTTCTCTAGTTCATGGTATCACTGTATCTTTGGGCTGATGCAGATCGAACTTCTGCTCATACAATTGCGCTGACTTCTAAAGACACTCCTTCAGTGTACAAATGCATAAGAATTTTTTGTTGTTGTTTTTCCTTTATTTATCTGAAAGTCACATTTGTATTTCCAGTAAAGCCCACACAGAGTTTTACTGTAGGCTGTCTCATTGCTCTTTCCTTCTCCAAAGCGAAATACATTTCCCTGATTCAAAAGGGTGAGAAGATTGCACTGAAATACAATCTTCCAAAATATGTTAAAATTTACAAACTCAACAAACAAACTAGGGGTGAATTCAGGTCAGGTATTTGCTTATACATCCTATTCCTTTCATTTTCCAGCATTTAATTTAAGCTTCATTTATCTGAGGGCCTGGATAATATAAAGCATGCCTTGCATGTGTTATGCTTCAAGTTCCATAAAATGGTACTTGTCTGCAGTTATTCCGATATAATTCACAGTTGGTGACTTAGGGACAGGAAAGTGTTGCAATGTATTCTGAAAGCGCCTATTCCAAATGTAGTCCTGAAAAGATGAATTACTGTGGGCACGAGACCCTGGTAGGAGCCTTATTAGTTTTGGAATGCAATCAGCAACACTTGCTTTCTTAGTCCTTTACATAATTATCCTCATCGCATATGTCACAGACGTAGAAAGCAGCCAGTAGGAATTTATGCCGAGGGTAGTCAAAGCTAGAAATTCATGTTTTAGGTGATTTTTTTTAATACCTTTCTGGCTTTACTTTTAGTGGGAGAAATCGCTGTACTGGCTGCACACATAAAAGCACTTTGAATGCACCTGTAGCTGATTTCTTATGTATAAGTAAACCCACCACTGCATAATCTGCACTTGCTGAAACGTTAGCCCTAAGTAACCTTTACAGCTGGTTGTGGTGCAGAGGGAGATGTTGGTATTCA